ATAGATAGATAGATAGATAGATAGATAGATAGATAGATAGATAGATAGATAGATAAATTTTAATAGATAAGGGCATAGGCAGGCAGTAGATAGGTGAGTAGATGGATTTATTATTTTTGATAAGTGTTTTACGGAGCTCGCAAATGCATACAGTCATATGAATGGGCGGGATACATTTAACATTTTCAGTTGGTAGGAAATTTTGAATTTTGCCCAGGTGGTGGCCGAAGCCTACTCTTATCGATATTGGACCACCAAGGGATCTTTAACGAGCGCAACTTGCACACGGGACCTCCGAGTTTTTTTGCCTCTGTCCAAGAAGGCTAGGTGTAGATCTTTCCCACCAGAAGATCAGAGGTGTGGCTGAAAGACAGCAGTAAGAATGAGCCACGGAGAAGCAGTGGAAATGCTGCAGAAAGAGTCAGGAGGCAAAAGAGGTGAGGGGTTGGGGGCAGAAAGTGGAGACGAAAGCAGACGACAGAATATGGCTAGAGAGCAGGAAAGGAGGTGAAAGGAGACAATTTTATAGAAGAATATTTTTCGGTCGCTACCCAGGTTTGAATCCGGGACGTTTAAATGAGTGGCCAACACCGTAACCTATAGGCCACGAGAGCCCCCGCAGATAGATTGATAAAGCTGATAGATAAATATGGAAACAAATATGAGGAGGGTTCAATACGTCAATGGTCTCGGTATGAAGGAATCATGGTAGAGTAATGAAATTTCGCCAGTCTTTAGACAATTTCTTTGATACACACCATGCAATTTTTCGGGCAAATCCGACAATAATAATGCAATAGTCAGCGTGTTCAATGAAATCATGTACAAAAACGTTTGGCTTTTCTTTGCTGAAGCTGTGGCATGGAGCCTTTTGGATATCGCTGTTATCAAGTTTTTACACTTGCGAGGAAAATCCCATTTGGACATTTTTCAAGAAATGGTCCAAGTTTATGGTGACAAATGTCCTCGTTATAATACTGCGACTACTGGGTAGGAAAATTCAAATCTGGATTCATGTCAGTAATGGATGACGATCGTGAAGGGCGCCCATCCTTCGTGGTAACTGAAGAGAATGTATCCATAGTGAAGAGAAAGTATCTATAGTGGTTTTACAAGACCGACATATAACTGTTAAACAGCTCTCAAGCGAAACGGGAATCAGAGTAGGGTCAATTGAAACGGTTCTACATGACCATCTTAACATGAATAAGATGTCTGCGCGGTGGGTAACCCGCCTTTTGACTAGTGAGCAAAAGAAGCGGAGGGTTGAGTTCTGCAAAACTCTCCTTCGAATTGAGTCCAATGACTCAAATTTCTTTAAAAACGTGGTGACTATGGATGAAACATGGATTTATCATTTTGATCTGGAACAAAAAATGTTTTCCATGCAATGGTAAACCTCTTCTTCTCCCTCACCAAAGAAGGCAAAGGTTACACAGTCAAGAGGAAGGGTCATACTGTCGTGTTTCTGGGATTGTTAAAGTATCATCACGATTGACCACCTGGGAAAAGGAAAAACAGTGACAGGGGACTACTATCCTGGTTTGCTAATAAAACTGCGGTCCGAATATTTCGTTGTGATTAGAAAACATGAGTTCGACTCCCGCGTTTGAAAATTACCACAAAAAAGAAATACATCTGTTTTCGTCATGATTTAAAAAAAAGCACCACAACTACGTTCCCGAACAAGACCATAAGGGCAAAATCATGAATATATTCTATAATGTTTTTTTTCTTGTCATACAGCAATATTAAGATAATGGTGATGATGATGATGACGATGATGACGATGATGATGATGATGATGATGATGATGATGATGATGATGATGATGATGATGATGATGATGATGATGATGATTCAATTATTCGAGAAACAATTTTTCAAGTTTTCTTTATCGCCTAAACTCCGTGTACTTTTCCTCTATTTACAGGAAGGAACGTTGAGAGTCAAAGATATCACGGCCTGGGCATCCTGATATTGAGCCACTTTGCAATCTATCGTTGTTAAAAATTTTGACCAAAAATAAATTTTCCTGACGAAGCAAACAGACAATTCAGTATCTGATTTCAAACAGCTGAGCTGACGCAGGAAGATGACAAAGGAAGGAAAAAATTGTCGTCATCAAATTTGGAAAAAGAAGCTAGTCCCTACGAATATGGCTCTTCTTTTACTTTTCGCGATTGTTCCCATTTGTACGGGTAAATGGGTTGTAGTGGGGAACGGCGGCGGTGGCCATGGGGGTGGTGGAGGTCATGGAGGTTACGGAGGTCACGGGGGTTACGGTGGAGGTCACGGAGGCGGAGGTCACGGGGGCGGAGGTCACGGATTGGTCGGGTTTTACGTTGCACAAGCCGGTGGTGCTGGAGGTGGAGGTCATGGAGGTCACGGAGGAGGGGGTCAAGGAGGTCACGGAGGTGGCGGTCAAGGTGGTGGTGGCGGCGGCGGTGGCTCTGGAGGCGGAGGAAGCGGCGGCGGTGGCCAGGCTGGCGGCTCCGGGGGCGGCCAGGGAGGTCAAGGAGGCGGGAAAGGCGGAGCCGGTGGTGCTGGCGGCGGTGGTGGGCACGGCGGGGGAGCCGGCCTGACTGGTGAGTACCACAACTTTGAACGTGCGGTGAACTGGAGAACATTTACTATTTTTTCACTATTCACAGTTGTTCAATGACATTCGAATGTTGAGTGACTTTTGAAAAAACAACAACTGAGAAACAAAACAAACAAACGAAAGAAAACATAACAATAACAAAAACCAAAACCAAACAAACAAATTAGCTGATAAATCATTTTTGTCTCATTGTTCCCAAGCCGTTGTAAAATTAGAACATACGATCATATCTACTATACTGTGTTTCTATATCTACTTCCTGTTAATGTAAATGGATTAAGTTTTGTTTCGATGCATACGCGCACGCGTGTACGCACACATACATACATACACACACACACACACACACACACACACACACACACACACACACACACATACACAAACACACGCACACAAACACTCACAAACACATACACACATGTATATGAACACCTACATACAAACAGTATGGACAAACAAATTCAGAGACAACACTAAATGCCTTGAGTATTCACATATTTCAAACTGACAGGAAAATCGGTAAAATCACAAATTTTTTAAATTCCTGTTTGGAATGAAAATCTGAAATCAAGATTTTTACATAGTTTGATATGAATTGGAATTCTCAACACAAAATATTCACATACTTTAACTTAGAATGACAATCGAAACTGAACATTGTGTACCTACTACAACTGGAAACAACAATCGAAAAAC